CCCCACCTTTCCCCAGCGCCCCGAGCCCTGGGGACCCGCGTCTGTCCCTGCTCCTGCACAGGGCAAGGAGGGAGAACAACCCCGAGCCACCGCTGCCAGGAGCTCTGCGCGGCCCCGTCCCCATGGCCAACTTGTTTAAGCCAAATTAGCAGTAAAAATGGCTTTTTCATGACACTTCATGGAAATCCTCCAAAACAATGAGCGATAACAGGCGTCAGATGTGCAAACGCAGTTCCAGTGGGTGCCCTGCACCCTTCCCAGCCAGCTCCGACGGCGACAAGGACACAGAGACGGACCCCTATAATTTTCTCCTCCCTGTTTCCGGCTGGACCGGACACTCCGAGAGCGGAGCCCGGGGCAGCCCCCGCGGACACTGCACCTGCCAGCCCGGAGCAAACGCCCCCGGCACGGCTCCAGCCCCATCCCCATCCCCGCGGCAGCTGGCGGGGCCACGCTGCGCCCCCGGCTCCCCCCGGCCGATGGCAGACGGACGCCGGAGCTGTGCGCTGCTCGGAGCTGGCACCAGCGCCAGAACCAGCCCGACGTGGGCTGGAGCAGGAGGTGAAGCCACTGGGGGGCCCGTGTCCCCAGCCGCCACCTCCCTTCTGGTGTGGGGAAGCTGACAAGGGAACATGAAACCAGGCATGGGACTCACCCCGGCACCCCAACAGCGTCTCGGGGGTGCAGGGACTCCCAGCCTGGCCGGAGAGGGTGCAGCTGAGGGTCCCACACCCGGGCAGGCACGATGGTGGCACAGGTCACCCTGTCCCGTCCCCTCCTCTCCCAGCACACGCTGCTCGTATGACAGCCCACGTTTGGCTTCTCCGGGCAACTCCCAGCAACATTTCAGCATTATCCTTTCATCTGTGCTGTAAACCTGATTAATTAAGCTAATCACTCAGCTAACGCAATTAGAGCGCTCTCTCCTTTCCAAACATCAGACAAACAGCCAAGTTTCGCTCCCCCCGCCGTTTCCCGGTGCGGATGGCCGCTGTCCGGGGGGCTCAGCTGGGACCCCCTGTGCTCTCTGTGCCCAGAGAGCTGTGGGGCTGTGGGGTGATGCCAGGACCCCCCTGGACCCTCTCAGCCCCCCGACCTCACATGCCAGGTGGCAAGCCAAGGATATGCTCGGTGCCACGGGTAGGGACGGCGGTGTCGAGGCGATCCGAGGTGGCCTCAAGCGCAGCACGCGGTGTCCCCAGGTGTGGCTGTGGCACGGAGCAGCCCCGGTTTGCGTAAGAGCCTCAACAGCACCGGGAGAGCGCCGTGCCAGGGCCTCGCCCGCCCAGCGGCGGCTCCGGGCGGGGCCGGGACAGAGTCAGCGCCTCGCACTCCCGGAGCCGCCACTCGGCACCGGGAAAGGGCCGAGACAGCCCGGCTGCCCGTGGGGACCCGCCCAGCACCGGCCGAGCTCCCGGGCAGCACACGGGGAGCGCTGCCCCAGGGCCGAGCCGGGACTGCCGGTGCTGCCGGTACTGCCCGGCCCGGACACCACCCGGGACCTCCCCGCCCCGAGCGCGGCCGCTCCCCAGCGCCGCGCGGCGGAGTCCGGTGCAGCCCAGCCCGGAACAACCGACAGCCACGGCCCCGGCCCGGCCCGGCCGCCCCAACTCCGCTCACCGGACCCCTCCCCGCCAGCCCGGTCCTCCGGAGCCCCCCCGCTCACCGGAGCGATCCCTGCCCGGTTCCGCCGGCCTATTGCCGCTCACCGCCGGTCCCCCATGCCCGATGCTCGCTGACTGGCTCCACTCACCGCCGCTCCCGGTGCCCCGCCCCGCTCACCGTCGCTCCCCGTGCCCAGTGCGCCAGTCCCGTTCACCGCCACCACCCGTTCCCGGTGCCCCGGCCCCACTCACCGTCCCTCCCCACCCGTTCCCGGTGTCCCAGCCCCGCTCACCGTCACTCTCCGCCGCCCGCCCGCTCCTGCCCGAACAAAAGGCGAGCAGCGCCCCGCGCCCCGCCCCGCCCACCACAGGCCACGCCCTCACGCCGCCCGTTCGCTATTGGCTGTCCCGCACGCCCATCAACTCCTGGCCCCGCCAGGCCCCGCCCCCGCCGGACGTGTTTATCCGCTCCCCATTGGCGGGGGCGCGGCCGCCCCGCCCCCTGCCCGCAGGTGATTGGACAGCGGGGCGGGGTGGGCGGGGCGCGGCGGCGGCAGAGCAAGGGCGCGACCACGAGGGGACCACCTGGGTGACGTCAGTGGGCGCGGCCAGGTGGGGCCGGACCCGCCCATGGGCAGGGCCGGGGGCTCGGGGGGACCCCCGGGGCCGTGCGGGGACCCCCGGGCCGAACGGGGACCCCCCGGGGCAGGAGCGCGGGGGCGGCGGGAAGCGGCGCTCGGGAAGGGCTCGGGGCTGCGAGCGCTGCTGGCGCTGCGTCAGCCCCGTCCCCGCCGGACCGGTCCAGCCGGGTGCTGCCGCCGCGTCCCGGGCGAAGCCGCCGTCACCCAGTGCCCGAGTCATCCATTGGATACGTCCCAGCCCACCTCAGGACCCCCCAGGTGCGGGGAGCAGGAGGATTGTGCCCCGGTGAGGATGAGGAGGGAGCATCCTGCACCCCCCGCTGCCTGCGCGGTTCCCTGGTACGTCTGCCAGCGAGGGCTGCCAGGCGGGGATTCGATTCTCAGCTCCGAAGGGAGGTGAGAGACAGCGCTTCCACCGCCCCTGCAAGGAAAAGGGAATTCATGGCTGTGCGCTGAGCGGGAGAGAGGAAATGGGCACACGGCATGGCACGGCACGGCACGGCAGGGCAGGGCACAGCCAGAAATCTCATTCGTGCTCCCCTCTTGGTCAAGGTCGAGGGTGCCAGGGAAGCGCCACGGTGTGACCCAGCTTCCTGCAGCCGTGCCCCTGCATCCCCTGCATCCCCTGCATGCCCTGCATGCCACCTCCGTGTCCCCAACAGTCACTGTGCATCCCGTCTCTGCACCCCTGGCACTGCCCTGCAGCTCTACTCTGTGTCCTGGGGACAGGACAGTGACCATGAGGGACAGGACGGTGGCCATGGGGGACAGGACGGTGGCCATGCTCAGGTCACAGCCCCTGCCGGCTCACACCGCCGCTGCCAGAGCTGCTGCTCCCGCCTGGCACTGCCAGGGGTGATGGATGCACATCCAGCGGCTGCAGGTGGCAGCGGGACAGGGACCCCGGGCACCCCACGGCTCTGTCTGGTGCCCGTGGATCAGCGGGAGGGAGGAGCCGGGGCTGGGAGGGGACACGGTGCCCAGGAGTGTGTCAGAGCAGGGCGGAGGCCCCGTGGGCACGGTGCCACCCTCGCCCAGCTGTTGGGAAGATCCACAGGTCATTGTCCCCTGGCTGCTGGGCTGTGCTCCCGCTCGTCCTCTGCTTGTGCCTCCAGCCACACCCCACGGGCTGGCACTGCCCTCCGAGGCGGCTGTGACCCATCGGTGACAAAGGCAGCTCCTCCCAGGTGACAGGACAGCCCTGTCCCTGTGCAGGGTGCAGCGGGTGCCCCCTCCCAGCGCTGCCTCCCCCAGCCCTGAGCTGTGCCCAGGGTCTGGGGGCTCAGCCCCTGCCAGAGCTGCAAAAGCCCCGGTGAGCAGGGGTTCCAGCAGGGCAGGGTGGGGTGCTGGCAGCCTCTTGCCACCCCCTTCCTTCCATTCCCATCCCTTCCCTCCCCCGGGGCCAACGCTGTGATTCAGCCTCTCAGTTTCAGTCCTCGTAGCCAATTTCCACGCGGAGCGGGAGGGAACAGGGCAGGGAGGAGTGAGCAGCCACAATGCCCTGTGCCTCGTGCCCAGGGCTGGCACGGGTTTGTGGGCACCAACAGAGACCCCCAAAACACAGGAGGGCACCCCACCCTGCCACCCCCACCTCCATGGAGGGATGCAGGCTGCACCCTCTGATCCAGGAGCATCCCCAAGGAGCAGGGTCACAGGGTTGGACCCCAGAACAGCCATCACTCATGGATATCACACCCCAAAAGAACCATCACTCATGGATATCACACCCCAAAACAGCCATCACTCATGGATATCACACCCCAAAAGAACCATCACTCATGGATATCACACCCCAAAACAGCCATCACTCATGGATATCACACCCCAAAACAACCATCACCCATGGATATCACACCCCAAAACAACCATCACTCATGGATATCACACCCCAAAAGAACCATCACCCATGGATATCACGCCCCAAAACAACCATCACTCATGGATATCACACCCCAAAACAACCATCACTCATCACGCCCCAAAGCAACCATCAGTTCATGGATATCACACCCCAAAACAACCATCACTCATGGATATCACACCCCAAAAGAACCATCACTCATGGATATCACACCCCAAAACAACCATCACTCATGGATATCACACCCCAAAGACCTACATGGGGTAGGACCTGCTGCCCTCCAGCCCCCTGCAGCTCTCCCCCTGCCTCACCTGACAGCCTCAATGGTCATGGATCCCTTTTGGGGTGCCCCTCATGGAACCCAGAGCCCCACAGGAGCCTGGCTGCTGTCATGGCCTCCGTGGGTCCCCACAAGTTCCCCCAGGTCATCTGTGGAGACATCCAGGCCTGAACTCATCCCTTCCTCTCCCACAGCAGAGCCTTTCCTACCCTGAGCTCCTGGATCCCAGCACATGGAAGGTGGAGGCAGCCTTGAAAAGACCAGTCTGGGTTTTATTAAAAGTTCAGCACCAGTAAATATATAAAAAGAGCAACTGTGCAAGAGGGGAAATCTTAAATTAACGGAGCTTAAGGCCAGAGAGGGCTGGTGTGGCAAAAATTCAAGGCACAGGCAGGGCATGGGTGCCACAGCCTCACCCCGTGGTGACACAGGGAGGTGACACGGGGAGGTGACACAGGGAGATGACACACCAGGAGGCCCCTATAGCACCAGGCTGGGGAGTCCAAGGGGAGCTGGCAGATTGCCTGGGAGGCTGGAGGAACAGGAGCAGGAGCCTCAGGAAGGGGCAGGAGCAGCTCCAGCATTGTGCATTGCTTCCCAAGCCCCTCAGGACAACATAGGGGTGGATCCTGGTGCATCATCCACAGCTCTGGGGGAGCAGCTGAGGGACACAGAAATCCATCCCCATGCTGTGGGGCATCACTGCTGGTCAGGGCTCCTGGGGCACCGGGGACAGGGGTGGCCCAGGCTCCTGGGCAGGCAGGGACCTTCAGGGCTGCTGCTGTTCCTCTGATGGGAACTGGGCTGTGCCAGCAGACTTCCCAAAGGCAGCCCTGCTGCAGGATGCTGGGCAGGACTGGCCCCTCCCCATGAGTCTGAGTTTTACCGGTGGCTGGGAGGAGCCCGATGTCCCCAAGATGGCATCGCAGAGCCACCACTGTCCAGCTCAGTTGGTGCTGGCTCCCCCTCCACCCGGCTCATCATAGGATCTCTGCAAACAAGGAGAGTTTGGTGGCACCAGGGGTGTGGGCAGCAGACCCCCCCCACCCTACAGCATGACCCCCAGACCTTGCTCGTCTTTGTCTCCTTTGGTCTTGGGCTCCTGCCACCACTCTGAGAAGAATCCCTCCTCGTAGTCACCTTCACCCTCGAACTCGCCATCAGAGGGCAGCTCCAGCACCTCGGGCCCCTCGGCACCATCCACCTCCATCTGCAGCACAGGAGGAGGCAGAGGGGCTCGGCATCCCCACCTGCAGTCTGCTCCAGAGCTGTTTTGGGGGGGTCACACCCCCACCCACACCACCCTGCACCCCACACCAGGTACCTCATCATCCTCATCCTGCAGGTACTGCCGGGCGAACTCCAGCATCTGCTTCTGAGCCGCCGTCTGGTTGTGGTACCTCACGGCTTCCTGGGCACCCAGGGGAGAGGGGCTGGGTCAGACCCTCCCTGGGCATGCAGGGCCACAGCACGGGGGGCTGGGGGGGTCCTCACCGGCCGTGGCTCGAAGTCTTCCTCGCGCAGGCGCCAGCGCTCGCGGTGGAAGCGGTAATAGACCAGGTTCTGCTGCATCACCGTGTCCCCCGGGTCGAAGAGCATGTAGCTGGAGACGCTGCGCACCGCGTCCTGCACGTCGTTCACTGCGGGGGGCAGAGCCAGCTGATGTTGGGGTGTGATGGAACAGCCCTGTCTCAGTCATCCTGGGTCTTTCCCCAGGCGTGCCAATCACCTCTCCCTTCCCCTCCCTTGCCCCTGCTGAGTGACATCTGTCAATCTCGGCATTCCAGAAAGGGCATTGTGTGATTGGTGAGGTTCAAAAGATGCCTCTCAGCCCTGGGGACATTGGGCTATCCAGGTGTCATTCGTCCCCTGAGACTTTCCCCCCTTACCTGGTTGGTGGCTCCCTACCCCTTCCCTGCCCCTCTCCCTGGGGTTCAAAGGAACAGCAACCACGGGCTCAGGGAGTTCTGTTGGAGCTGGTGCTGCATTCAGAGGCCTGTGTGCCAGGAATAAAGCTCTGGATCCAAACCCTCCAGCAAAACCTGACTCCTTTTCCTTCACCTTGCCTTGAAGCTTCTCTGCCACCGGTAAACCGGAGCTCCTGCATGCCTGGACTTGTCCCAATTGCCCAGCTGCCATATCCAGCTAGCCAAAGGTGTCTCTGAGGTGAAACCACCACAGCTCCCACCTCTGGTCAAGCAGCAAGGGCCAGAGCAGCCCAGGCACGTCCCATCCAGCTATATTGGTATTTCATTCCAATATATTGGTGCCCAACGTGGGGCAGCTCCATCCTGGGGATGGATCAGTCAGGGAAGAGACCCCTGAGGTGGCACCCTCACTTTTGCTGCAGCATCCAGCCAGCCAAAGGTGTCTCTGAGGTGAAACCACCACAGCTGCCACCTCTGGTCAAGCAGCAAGGGCCAGATGAGCCCAGGCACGTTCCATCCGGCTATATTGGTATTTAATTCCAATAAGCTGACACAGGGGGACACCCCTGACAGGGCACACAGCACAGCCCCGCTCCCAGCGGCACTCACGCTTGTAGTAAGCGAATTGCAGGTAGTGGTACATGGTGGCCACGAATTTCTCCACGAAGTATCCGCCCACGTTGGGGGTGAGCTCGGTCTCGCAGTCCACCTTGCACTGCAGCACGCTCACAAAGTGGTCTGGGAGGGAGAGATGTTGGGTGTTGCAGCCCCTGATTTTCTCCCCAAATCTGCCATCCCCCAGCCCCCCACTACCTGCGATGGCAGGGTAGAAATCCTTGAACTCCTGGAGCTCGTAGGCGCCCTCACAGCCGGCCAGACAATCCTCGTAGGCCTTGTAGTACTCGGCCAGAGCCTGCTCCATGTCGGCTGCACTGCTCCTGAAATCCCCACTGTTGTACAGCTTCACTGCCCGCACGAATATCGGCTGCAAGGACCCCAGCTCAGTGAGGGAGAGCTGCTCCCCTCGGGGCTTGGCAGCACCAGGTGGGCTTTGAGCCCTGGGGAGCCCCTCTGAGCCCCTCTGAGCCCTGCCCCAGCCCCCTCCCCTCCTCACCTCATAGGGCTGAGCTTCCAGGTCCACCAGGTATTCATCCACATCCAGCATGGTCCTGTAGTAGTTCAGGTACCTCAAGGTCATCTCATGCTTGGGGTTCTTCTGCAGGAAGGTGTGGGCAGCAGACACGGCCTTCTCGATCTTGTTTGACTGTGGAGGGAGGCGCAGAGACCTTCTGGAGGGCAGCCTGAACCCACAGTGCAGCCAAGGGGGCCTCAGCACCCAACCAGAGCCCTGGGCTACAGGACAGAGGGGTGATCCTTGTAGGGAACAGCCCTGAACCCCCAGTGCACAATCATCCACTGGCAGGGATGAACAGACAGGATCTGGAAACGTGGACATTGCAGGTAACTCCAGCCACGCCAACCTCCTGGCTGTGCCCATGGTGGGCACAGGGGCAGCTCAGCCTCTCACGGGCACCCACATCCAGCCAGGAGTGATCCACGTGGTGTGAGGAGGATCCACGTGGTGTGAGGAGGATCCACGTGCTGTGGGTTTGACCCACACCTCCACCCCTCTCCCGCACTGCCATCAGACCTGGCTGCTGCCCCTGCTGCTTGATGGGCTCAGGCTGCAGCTCAGAGGAGCAGGGAGGGAGGGTGGTTTGAACAACCCATCCACGAAATGGATTTGGGCCAGAGCAGCAAGAGGAAAAGGCATTAAGGATGAAGCCAGGCAGTCCCTCACCACTGCCAGGTGAGTGGGGCTGCAGTGCTGAGTGCTAAAACAGCACCAGCAGTGGAAGGTGCCAGGGACCAGAGGACTGTCCCCTGCCAGAGCCACTCTGGCCAGCACATGCCCACCTCAGGGGGTGCCTGATGAAACCTCCCTCCCCAAAACCTCCCTCCACGTCTGCACTGTGAAGCTGAGCAAGTCCTTCTTTCTTAGAGAGCATCCAGACACGTGTCCCACCACAATCACAGAGGCACTGCACCCTCCAGCCCAGGCCCCTCAGGCTGGGGCAGCCCCTGTGTGCTCCCTGCCTGTCCAGAGAGACCTTGGGCTACCAGGGCAACATAAGGTGGGAGAGAGGGACACAAGCACAGGGGCCCCCAGTCGCCCTGCCTGATGTGTCCCAGATGATGCTGACGTGCCACGGCTCAGGGGCAGCATGGAGGAGCTGCTGGGGGATGCCAGATGGGGAGGGAAGGGGAGGGGAGGCACCTGACAGCAGGGTGCAGGATGGAGTGGGGCACAGATAGACGGGAGTGAGGTTCAGGCTGGGCAGATCAGAGGCGGACAGTGTAGGATGGGGGGCACAGGATGGGGATGCAGAACGGGGGTGTCAAAGAGGACGTACAGGATGAGGGGCACAGGATGAGACCCGCGAAGGGGTGTGCCCAGTCAGGGGGGGTATCATGGAGTGGAAAGATCAGTGGTGCAGGACAGAGAAGCAGGACCCCCCCACCCCTTCCCCCGTCCATTTGCACCGCCTCACGCCTCACCTTGAAGAGCGCGTAGTGCAGGTACTGGTAGGGCTGGCGGCGCTGGAAGTCGCGCAGGGTCTGCGCCGGCGGGTAGCGCAGCTGGAACACGGGCAGCTCCCGCTTGCAGGCGCGCAGGCAGCCGGCCCGGAGCAGCAGCCGCCCGAAGAGCCGCAGCTCCCGCTCCCACTCCCGCTCCCCGGCCGGACCGTCCCCGGCAGGAGGGGGCTCCCCGGCGCAGCGGCGGTGGCAATGCGCCTCGCTGTCCCGCAGCAGCCGGTGCAGCCGCAGGCTGGCCTCCAGCCCCCGAGCGCTCTCCGCCCACTGCGCGTCCGCGTACTGCTCCAGCGCCCGCTCGTAGGCGCTCTGCAGCGGCTCCAGCGCGGCCGCGGGGAAGCCGCGCACGCTGTACTGCTCGTACTGCGCCGCGCACAGCCCGGCCGCCAGCAGCAACACCGGCAGTGCCCGCGCTACCGGCACCGGTACCGGCACCGCGCCGCCCATCCCTGCTGCCGCGCACTGCCCGCGCACCGCGCACCGCCCCGCGCACCGTCCCGCGCACCGCCCCGCGCACTGTCCGCGCAGCGCTCCACGCTCCACGCCGGGCCCCGCGCACCGCCCCGCGCAGCGCAGCGCTCCACGCCGGGCCCCGCGCAGGGGGCGGGCAGCAGCGGGGATGGGCGGTGCGTGGCGGGCGCGCAGGGTCTTAGTGCGGCTCCGCCGGCCCCGCGGGGGCTGCGCGGGAGATGCGCGGGGGATGCGCAGAGCAGCACCATGCGCGGGCAGGCTCTCCAGGCCGGCGGCGGCCAGAGGTGTCCCCGCCGCTGGCCCGTGCCAAGCCCGAGGCCGCACGCCCTGTGCCGTGCCAGATCCCGGCCCCAGAGCTGGCCCGTGCCAGGCCTCGGCACGGCCGCAGTGGCCCCGGCCCAAACCCAGCGCTTTGTCGCTGGCCGGACGGTGGCACTGAGGGATGTCACTGCGCGGGGCAGCAGCCAGGACAGTGCTGAGGTTTCTCCCTGCGGAGCAGAGGGTGCGGCTGTGGTGCCACCAGCCCTGTCAGCACTCACTGGGCACAGTGAGGCCGTGTCCCAGCACCATGTGTCCCTCCGGGCTGCTCCGAGCCGTGCTGAGGGTGCTCCCCCCGGTGTGGGGTGGCTGGGGGGCTGCAAACCCCCCTGGGGCTGGGCTGGGGGAGCTGATGGTGCTTGGCTGGAGCTGTTTCTCTCACTGGTAGCCCTGAGCCTCAGAGGGGCTGGGCTGGGATTTGCGTTTGGGTTCACAGCCTGTTGCATTTCCCACCTGGAACTCACCAAGGCTCTTGGTACAGGTCCTGCTTCTTGCCGATGGATTTGGGGGAGCAGGGATGTGTGGGCAACACCTCTGAGACAGTTTGAGGCTCGATTTGTCTGGGAAGAACTGCTGGGAGAATTTCATATTTTTGAGTAAAGGCTCTGCCAGCAGCAAACTCGTTATTAAAACACTTAATTCCTTTTATTTACTCTCCCGAACTGCTGGGACTGAGCAGCAGCATCTTGGGCCGGGTGCAATGAGCTGGCATGGGCAGGAGGAAGAAGAGGAGGAGGAGGAGGCACAGCAGCGCTAGGACCTAGGGCCGGGACGGGCAGGGCCGGGCTGGGCCTGCAGCCGCACAGAGGAGGAAAGGAAAAAAGGGGGAAAAAAAAAAAGAGAGAGAGAAAGTAAATAACGAAATAATGAGAGGGAGGAGGAAAAAAAATAGAAAAGTAAAAAAAGAGGGAAAGGAGGAAGAAGAGAAATAAATAAAGAAGGGGGGAAAACCGAAGAGGAAAAACAAAAGAGGGGAACAGAATGACCCCTCCGGCGTGGATCGCTCCGTGCCGCGGTGCCAGCTCCCGGCGCGGCGGGGGGAGCGCGGCGGGGCCCGGACACGTCTACAGAAATTCCAGGCGGGCCGGGCTGGGCTGGGCGGGCGGAGGGGAAGGCACGGGAAAGAGAAAGGGGCGTCCTGAACCCCCCGCCCTCCTCCTTCCCTTCCCTTCCCTTCCGCCGCCTCAGCCCCAGCGCCATGGCCATGGCCCCGGGCAGCCGCTGCTGCCTCCTCCTCCTCCTCCTCCTCCTCCTGGCCGTCCTGGGGGCCCCGGCGCTGGGCGACCCCGGCCCTTTGGAAGACGTGGTGATAGACAGATACTATATCCCCAAAATCTGCCTGCGGGAGGCGCAGATGGGGGATTTCATTCGCTACCACTACAATGGGACCTTTAAAGATGGCAAAAAGTTTGACTCCAGGTATCGGCCGCGGCTCCGCGGCGGCTGCATGCGGGGGGCAGCTGCGGGACCCTGCATGCCTCCCCCAGCCCCCAGCCCGCGTTCCGGGCTGGGCAGGCAGCCTGGAGACCCCGCATGCCTCCCCCAGCCCCAGCGCAGAGACAACGCCCGGCTTGGAACCGAGGAGGGGTTTGGTGGGTGATGGGGTGACTCAGGAGCCTGCACATGTGTCAGCCTGAAGCGAACCCCAGCCCAGGCTGCAGCCCCCCAAACTGATCCCACAGGAGCTCCCAGCCCTTCGGGGAGCCTGCACCCCCCCAATCCACAGAGCTGTGCTAATTTGGCCCTAATTGGCACGCTGTGCACGCAGGAACACGTATGTGCATGTGCAGCACAGGCAGGGAAATGCTCGGAGCACTTTGAGACGTGGCAGCAGCAAAACCCTTCATTATCCCAGAGGCTTTGCTCTGCTGGCCTCAGAGCTCCTTGGCCCCCTGCTCTGCTTGTGCTGGCTGGGAATCGGGGCTGGGGCAGCCCCTGGTTTGCAGCACCATGTGCAGGAAGGAGCACTGAGGACACAGGAATAACTGAAGCCACATAGCAATCAAAATTTCCCAGGCAGGTGTTGTTTTGGAGCTCTGGAAAGCAAAAGGGGTTCACAGTTTGATGTGATAAGACACAGTTTGATGTGTCTTATCTTTCTTGTGAGCATCAATGGGGAACAAATTAACTGCAGTGAGAGCCTCACTGCTAAACAGAATTCTCTGTCAGGAGGACATCTGCTGCCCCAGTAGTTTCTTGGAGTATATTAAGGTTTAAAAATAAAAACAAATTTGCAGCTTAAAACTGAGGCCGGGACGTCATCTTTCCTCATCACTGTGTAAAGCTCTGCTGTGCCAGGTACAAAATGATTTGGAAGCAGCAGAGCTGCCAGCCTCCAGCCCAGCTCAGTGGGTGAGATCTGGGGAGGGTCTGGATGGCTTCTGGGGCTGAAATCCTGACCAGCAGCATGGGATTGAGCCCTCCAGCACCTGCATTTTTGATCTATGGGCCCTGCCTGCCACACAGACGGTGATGTGAGACCCGCCCTGGCAGCTTTGGGAGCTCCATCCCTTTTCTCAGCCCTGACGGCTCTGTCCCTTTGCCCCAGCTACGACAGAGGGGCCACGGTGGCCGGCGTGGTGGGCGTCGGGCGGCTGATCACGGGCATGGACCGGGGGCTGCAGGGCATGTGCGTCAACGAGCGGCGCCACCTCATCGTGCCACCCCACCTGGGCTACGGCAGCATCGGCGTGGGTAAGGGGCCCTGGCACGGGGGGCTCGGGGAGAAAAGCCCCCAGGGGCAGGGACAGGGCTCCAGAGGTCCCCTGGGAGATGTGGCCCAAGTAAGGGTGGCTCCGCGGCCAGAGAGTGGTGCTGAAGTGGGGCTTCCCTGGTGTGGTGTTTCCCATGGTAGGAAGGAAATGATGGATCTGACTCCACGTTCTTAGAAGGCCAATTTATTATGATATGGTATGATGTGATGTGATATGATATATATTATATCATATTATACCATATATTGTACCATATATATTATATCATGTATATTACATTACATTACATTACATTACATTACATTATATTACATTATATTATATTATATTATATTCCATTACATTATATTCCATTCCATTCCATTCCATTCCATTCCATTCCATTCCATTCTACTATATTATACTATGTTAAATAATAGAGAAAGGATACGGACAGAAGGCTTAACAAGATATTAATTAAAAACTCGTGACTCTCTTTTCAGAGTCCTGACACAGCTTGACTGTGGTTGGTCATTAAGTCAAAACAATTCACGTGTTGGATAAACAATCTCCAAACCACATTCCAAAGCAGCAAAACACAGGAGAAGCACATGAGATAATATTGTTTTCCTTTTTTTCTGAGGCTTCATAGCTTCCCAGGAGAAGAAATCCTGGTGAAGGGATTTTTCCAGGAAATATGTCAGCGACACCCTGGGAATGTGGGGTCCTGCCCCAGCTGGGCTGTGCTGGGTCTCCAGCAGTGGCTTCAGGGGAGGCTTTGGGGGGCAGAGCCCATGGCTGGCCTGGGCTCAGTGTTGGCCCCACTCAAGGTGCTCTGTCCTTGCTGCTGCCCCTTTAGCGGGGCTGATCCCCCCAGATGCCACCCTGTACTTCGACGTGGTCATGCTGGACATCTGGAACAAGAATGACAAGCTGCAGATCACCACCCTGTCCAAACCCGAGCGCTGCAACCGCACCGTGGAGAACTCGGACTTCGTGCGGTACCACTACAACGGCACCCTGCTGGATGGGACCCCCTTCGACTCCAGGTAGGGACACTGGGGTGTCCCCTGGCCTCAGGGCACCTGGGATGCACCCTCTGCCTGACACTGGGCCACTCGGGGTGGCTGGGACCCAGGGAGAGCAGCCTGGGCACACAAGTGTGTAGGAGTGCAGGGGGTAGGACGGTTGGGACAGACGGAGACGAGAGATCTCTGGAGCCAGGTCATGGAATTTGGGGTTTATTGCAAAGGGGCCCTGCTGGGAGCTGCCAGGCACAGCTCAGAGCAGGCCTGAGAGAAGAGAGGGTAGAGAGCATGAGATTGTAAGAGCATAAAAGGGTAAGAGAGCGAGGTTCCCGTTACAATACCATAAATCTTCTTCTGTGTTGAATATTCTAATTCTCACTAACCAGTCTAGTACAAGATACAAATCCTATAGCATTTACATACAGCCTATAAGAATCACTACATTACCATATTGTGTTACGTTTTAAGCCCTAAAAACTCCTCTTTGGGCCCCTTCTGCCAAGCTGTAGGGTCTGCTCTGACCCTTGGGCCTGTCTGCAAGCAGAGGGTGTTGTTTCACCTTCAGCCAGCCATGGTTTTCCAGATGCTCAGTAACTAAAGTATCTCAAAACTTGCTTTCATTTCAATATCACTTATAGTTTTTATGTTCTCAAAATCTTTTACCAGACAATCATATTTATAAGGCTTTACTGTTTCATCTTCCCCAAGAAGTTGGAGCAGCCTCACTCTGTCCTGCTCTCCAGCAGGGCTGGTGCAGCTCCATGACCCCCCAAAGCAGCCTCTGGCACAGCACTGCTCTGCCTGGGGCTGCTGCTGTGGCCCCGGAGCCATCCTCATCCTCATTCTCCACCACCAGCTACAGCAAGGGCAGCACCTATGACACCTACGTGGGCACGGGGTGGCTGATCAAGGGCATGGACCAGGGGCTGCTGGGGATGTGCGCTGGGGAGAAGAGGAGCATCATCATCCCCCCGTTCCTGGCCTATGGGGAGAAGGGCTACGGTGAGCCAGGCACCCCCCATGCTGCCAGCTCTGAGCAGAGCCCCCTGGTGCAGGACCCTCCTTCAGAATGAGCTGTTTCCTCTCCCAGGGACGGTGATCCCGCCGCAGGCGTCGCTGGTGTTCAGCGTGCTGCTGGTGGATTTCCACAACCCCAAGGATGGCGTCTTCCTGGAGCACCTGGAGGTGCCAGAGACCTGCAAGCGCCGGGCTGTGACCGGGGACTTTGTCCGCTACCACTACAACGGGACACTCATGGATGGGACCCTCTTTGACTCCAGGTTTGGGATGGGACACTCATGGATGGATGGGACCCTCTTTGACTCCAGGTGTAGGAGGAAGTTCCCCTGTAGAGAGAGCCCCTGATTTCCTCTCCTGGCTGCAAGGAAAAGCTGGAGAGGGGATGTCAGAACCCAGGAAATTCCTCTGGCTGCTCTGGAGGACTCAAGCCCCTGTCCAGGGGGCTCAGAGACCGTGGCACAGAGCACAGGACCCCTGTGCCTTTGATTTAGCCCTTGGAAAAAAAAACAATTACCAACCTTATATGAAGAATTACAAGCCATGAAAGTTTAAGTAGAATTATAGTGAATTTATCACAGGGTGGAAAAATAGATTTTTGGGGTTTTTGTAATGGAGGTTCAGGGGGCAAGATGGAGGAATCTGGGCATGTCCAGCCTTTCTCCTTCTTCTTTTGGGCCTCCATCTTCTGCTGTGATGGTGGCACTTTGGGATTGGTTTAGAGGTTTTAGTGTAAAAAGATAAAAGATGGGCAGAGTGCCTTGGACTGTCTTGCTGAGCAACCTCAACAAGGGGACAATGGGCATGAAATAGGCTAAAAAACCCCAATATCTGTTTGTTGCATCTTTTGGAGCAAAGTTTGGTTCCTGGGCAAGCAGGAGAGGCTGGGTTGGGGTGTAGGGTCTGAGGATTGATGGATTGATGGTGCTGTGGGCATTGATGGGTTGATGGTGCTGGAGGTTCTCTCGCTGCAGTTACTCCCGCAATCAGACCTACAACACCTACATTGGGAAGGGCTACATCATCCCTGGCATGGATCAGGGGCTGCAGGGCGTCTGCATTGGGGAGCACCGGCGAGTGGTCATCCCCCCACACCTGGCCTACGGGGAGAACGGCGCAGGTAAACGGGCAGAGGGCTCTGAGGGGCAGATGGGGGCTCTGGTGTGCTCTGAGGGACAGCTGTGGGCTCTGGTGTGCTCTGAGGGGCAGGGATGGGCTCTGATGTGCTCTGAGGGCACATCAAGGGGTGTGGTGGCGATCACAGGGGTCCCAGGATGAGGGAATAGATGAGAATCTTGACTCCATGTTTCAGAAAGCTGATCTATTATCTTATGATATGTATTATATTAAAAGAAAATGATGTATGAAAACTATACTAAAAGAATAGAAGAAAGGATTTAATCAGAAGAAATAGAAAGGAATGATAATAAAATCTTGTGACAGACCAGAGAGTCCGAGACAGCTGGACTGTGATTGGCCATTAATTAAACCAATCACAGATGCACCTGTTGCATTCCACAGCTGCAGATTATCATTGTTTACATTTTGTTCCTGAGGCCTCTCGGCTTTTCAGGAGAAAAAGATCCTAATAAAAGGATATTTCATAAAATATGTCAGTGACAAAGGGGTGTGGGAAGAGGCAAGGAAAGGCTCCAGCATCTCTCCTCATCCTCCTCTTCCAGGGGATAAAATTCCCGGCTCAGCCGTGCTCATCTTTGACGTTCACATCATCGATTTCCACAACCCCGCGGACCCGGTGGAGATCGAGACTGTGTTCCGGCCCGAGGGCTGCAATGTCACCAGCCGCCACCGCGACTTCGTGCGCTACCACTACAACTGCTCCCTGCTGGATGGCACCCGGCTCTTCTCCTCGTGGGTGCCCCCCGAGCATCCCTGTCCTTGCTGGGGACAAATCCTGGCTGGCACTGGGCTGGGGGTGACAGGCCCCGGGAGCTGGGACAGGCAGATCGGCCACGGGGCAGCAGGAGGGGTCAAGGGACACAGAGGGATGGACAGATGAAGGGTTGAAGGGATACAGAGGGATGAACAGAAGGGTTCAAGGGACACAGAGGGATGGACAGATGAAGGGTTGAAGGGACACAGAGGGATGCACAGAAAGGTTCAAGGGACACAGAGGGATGGACAGAAGGGTTCAATGGATGCAGAGGGATGGACAGAAGGGTTCAAGGGACACAGAAAGATGGACAAAAGAAGGGCTCAAGGGACACAAAGGGATGGACAGCAGGAAGGTTCAAGGGACACAGAAGGATGGACAGAAGAAGGGTTGAAGGGACACAGAGGGATGGACAGCAGGAAGGGTTGAAGGGACACAGAGGGATGGACAGAAGAAGGGTTGAAGGGACACAGAGGGATGGACAGCAGGAAGGGTTGAAGGGACACAGAGGGATGCACAGAAGAAGGGTTAAAGGGACACAGAGGGATGGACGTGGCTGTGGCATGGAGGCAGTGGAACTTCATGGCACGCCCGGATGGAGGATGTGGGATTCTGGGATGGAAGGGGTTGGGATTTCAGGGCTTTTCTCACCTGTTTCCTCTGTGCCTCCTGCAGCCATGACTACGAGAAGCCCCAGGAGGTGACCCTGGGGGCCAACAAGGTGATTGAGGGGCTCAACAGTGGCCTGCTGGACATGTGTGCAGGGGAGAGGAGGGTGCTCATCGTGCCCCCACACCTGGGCCACGGGGAGAGCGGAGGTAGGGCAGTGTGACCGTGTTCACAGGGGTCTGAGGATGGGGGAAGAGATGAGGATCTGACTCCATGTTTCAGAAGGCTTGATTTATTATTTTATGATATATATCATATTAAAACTATACTAAAAGAATAGAAGAAAGGATTTCATCAGAAGGCTGGCTAAGAATAGAATAAGAAAGAATGATAACAAGGGCTTGTGTCTCGGACAGAGAGTGTGTGCAGACTGTGATTGGCCATTAATTAGAAACAACCACATGAGACCAATCACAGATGCACTTGTTGCATTCCACAGCAGCAGATAACCATTGTTTACATTTTGCTTCTGAGGCCTCTTAGCTTCTCAGGAGGAAAAATCCTAAGGAAAGGATTTTCCATAAAAGATGTCTGTGACAGGGGAGATGTGTGCAGAGCAAACTGGGTGGTCCAGCCTTGCCGGGCTGGGCTCCATCCATCACCCCTCACCCTGCCAGGGCTGTGGGGCTCAGGGCTTTGCCTGTGCTGTGTTTCCAGCCCGGGGCGTGCCTGGCAGCGCCGTGCTGCGCTTCGAGGTGGAGCTCATCTCCATGGAGGAGGGCGTTCCTGAGGGCTACCTCTTCATCTGGCACGGGGAGCCACCAGCCAACCTGTACGAGCAGATGGACCTCAACAAGGACGGGGAGATCCCTGCTGAGGAGGTGAGGGGGTGCAGGAGGAAAGGGGGGCACACGGGAGCCCACCCTGGGCAGCAGCACTTGAGGGGCACTTGGGAGCCTGCAGAGCTCTGCAGGAAGATCATCCCAGTAAAAATCATTGCTGCAGGGTGTGGGCTGTGTCCCCAAGGGCAGCCTCTGCTCCCTGTCCTTGGCATGGGCTGTGCAGAACCAAGCAGCATCATCTGTTCCCTCTCCCCTCTGCAGTTCTCCACCTTCATCAAGAGCCAGGTGGCAGAGGGGAAAGGCCGCCTGATGCCCAGCTCTGACCCGGAGAAAGTCATTGCTGACATGTTCCAGAACCAGGACCGCAACCAGGACGGGAAGATCACGCCCGAGGAGCTGAAGCTCAAGTCGGATGAGGACCAGGAGAAGATTCACGAGGAGCTCTGAGGGGCAGCCCCTGCTGTTCTGGAGACAGGACTCATCCTTGCCATGTCATGGCTGCTCTCCCACCCTGGGATCTGCCCCTCTCCATCCTGCAGGGGGTTGGGTTTTGATTTTCACCTCTTTTTAACTGAGGGTATTTTGATGTGTTCTCCTGAGCAGGAAAACTCAGCCCCCAGCTAATAAACCCAGACAAGAAGATGTCCCCTCCCTAAGCCCCTTCATCCCACACCAGTGAGTGCACATCCAGCTCCAGCCCCTCACCTGGCTGTGCTGTAGGGAGGATTCCCCTTATCTCCATCACTTTTTTGTAGTTTAGGGTTGGGGATTGGATTTTTTATATACACATTTAAAATTCTTTAGAGAGAAGGAAGAGAAGGTTTTGTCCCATTCCCTGCTCTGCCCCTGCTGCCATCCTCCCTGGGACACGAGGCTGAAGAGGGCTCAGGTTCCCAGGGTGAACTCTGCAGGCATCTGCTGTCCCCAAAATCTGCAACTGTGGGGCCTGGCAAAGCCCTCATCAGCCGGGAGAAGGGAACAGCTCCATTGCCCAGCCCTCAGGGAGCAGCACTGTCCCCTCCACTCCCTCCCAGCCCCAGGGACTGAGACACATCAGAGCTGTTTAATTTCAATGCCCAAATGCAGGTCCTGCTGCTGGGACCAGCACAGCTCCCAAAACCTCTGCAGTCTGTCCTGGACAGGACAGGAGGAATGCAGGAGCACAGCACTGCAGAGTGAACCCCTCAAACAGAGACTCTGCCTTGCACCAAATAAATCATTCCTCCAGGTTTCCAAGGAGTTTGACTGTGTTTGGTAACTTTGCCACGATGAAACCATCCCCATGTGTTGGGGTACAGGCACAGGGACCTTCACCAGTGCCCAGGGGGATTCCAGGCTCCAGCATCCACTGGCTCTGGCAGGAAAAACCAAAATTCCCACCTTGGATCCTCCACCAAAGCCAACAGGGCTTTAGTTCCAGCACCCAGTGAGGCTGGGGGGCTCTGGTGAGATGAGGAGCAGGTTGCCAGTGCCAGCCAAGGGAACAGAGCAGCTCCAGCCCCTCAGTGCTGGCTACAAACCAGCCGTGACCCAGCTTTAGCCAATTGTGTTTTTATTCCAAAACAGAACAAGTCTGCTCTTCCCAAAGTCCCACATAACCAGAGGTTACACAGAAATAAAATGGTCTTTTTTTCCTATTGCTGCTCTCAGAGCCCAGGATCAGCCCAGAAATTTATTACACAAACACAGTCAGGTAAAACATTGTTTAAAACTCAAAATTCTGCCATTGGCCTCTCCCCCACACCATTCCCACCCCTCTGATCCCTGCAGACGAACTCACTCCTGGCTTTGGGCAGCAGCAGCAGCCGAGCTCTGGGGCCTTCAGGGACGGCTGGAAAAGGTTTTATTCCCACAATAAGAGCTGTACTGGTGCTAGAAGGATGGATGAGCTGAGCTATGAGGCCAGAGAGCTGCTGGTGCACATGGGGAATGTGGGGCTGGGCGATGTGATGGCCACACCGGCCCAGAGTCAGCCCCAGAGCTCTGAAGCCCACAGAGAACAGGACAAAGAGAGAAAGTTGTTTTCTTAGCCAGGAACACAGTGACACATCTGAACTGGCTCTGTCCTCAGCCCATGGTAAATTATCTCCATCCCACCCTCAAGAGGGTGGAATGAGCAGTGCAGAACATCTCTGTCTGGAACATGGAATGGTTTGTTGTGGCCTCAGAGGTGGCAGGGCTGAATTCCCAGTGGGATGAAGCCTGAGCAGGACTTCAGTCAGGGTGGGGAACTGCAGGGCCAGGCAGAGCTGGGGTAAAGGGAGAGGAGGAGCTTCCTCCACCTCACCTCTGCTGCTCCAGGGCTGGCCGAGGGCGTTGGTGAGGTCAGGATGGAGCCCAGGCAGCCCCGGCAGCCCCTCAGCTGTGTCCTGGGCAGGACAATGCCTGCCCAGTGCCTGCTGCGTGGCTGGAGCTGGCACAGAGCCCCCAGCTCATGTCTCAGCCAGGAGGTACCGCAGGATCCCATTCACCACGTCCAGGGTCTCATCGCTCTCCAGCACAATGTCATACGAGTCCAGGTACTTCTTCCTCCTCTCTTCCACCTGCCAGGACAACAGCTGAGGGTCAGGATCACCAAAAAGGTGTCAATAACTACCCTGAGCATTTCCCAGACACAGCAGACACCCCACAGGAGCTCGTACAAATCTCTCACACACCCAAAACACTGGGGCAGCCCCTGCCCCTCCCTGCTGGCACCTAGGAGCACCAAACTGCTCCTGTCACCCACCTTGTCATTGAGAAAGCCAATCTTGAGGATGTTCTCCACGCTGGGAACGCCGTCTGCCATGGTCAGGTCACCCATGGAGTCCCCCAGCAGGATGATGCTGGTCCTGGTGCTCAGCTGCTGGAAGTACCCTGTGCCCTGCAGCACGGAGTTGTTCTTGTTGTAGGTGTGGATGAGGGGCCCCTTGAAGTGTGTGAGGACTCCCTGAGCACAGGGGACAGACAGACAGACAGCTCTTAACCCCATGGCGTCACTGTTAATCACGTCCCAGTCCTCAGCCCCAGCCCCACTCTGTCACTGTCACATTTTCTGAAAAATCCCTTCACCAGGATTTCTTCTCCTGGCAAGCTGAGAAGCCTCAGAGAAAAAGGAAAACAATATTATCTCATGTGCTTCTCCTGTGTTTTGCTGCTTTGGAATGTAGTTTGAAGATTTTTTTATCCAAAATTTGATTTGTTTTAACTTAATGACCAACCACAGTCAAGCTGTGCTGGACTCTGAAAAGAGAGTCACAAATTTTTAATTAATATCTTGTTAAGCCTTCTGTAAGTATCCTTTCTCTATTCTTTAGTATAGATGTAGATATGGATTCCCCTATATATTTCATTATAGCACAATATAATAAATAAAATATAATAAATACAATAAAATATAATTTTCTAACTATATTTTATATAATTATAAAATATAAATAATTTATATTATTTATAATATTTATAAATTATTTCTATATTTCTTGTATTTATTATATCTATAAATTATTTATAAATATAATTTATATAATATATAAATTATATAAATATTTTAAACAATAATAAAATATAAATAATTTATAACTATTATAATATAATTTATTATAACATTTAATATATTATAATATAATAAATATACTATATTATATTATAATATAATATAATACCATATAATATAATACCATCTAATATAATACCATCTAATATAACACCATCTAATACAATATAATGTAATGCAATGTATATTATATATATTATATATATAATATAATATAATATAATATAATATAATATAATATAATATTATATTATATTATATTATATTATATTATATTATATTATATTATATTATATATTTATTATGATATATTTATTATATTTATTATATTTACTATATTGTATTTATTATATTATAATTATAATATATTATATTATATTTTGGTCTTCTAAGAACATGGAGTCAAATTCATCATTTCCCCCTCCAACAGAGGACCCAGAAAATACCCCACCACACCACTCCACTCTCCTCCCACACTGAGCACACAGGTGCCAGGCAAGAACTCACCTCATCACTGAAGGCCATGTAGTTGGACACCACATTGACATTGGGGTAGAAGACGTTGGCCTGACGGATGATCTCCTCCAGGATATCCCCAACCCCAGCCGAGAAGATGAACAGGGGGATCTTGTTCTTATGCAGCTGATCAAAGAACTCCTTGAAGCCATCCCTGGAGCAGCAGTGTGCGTTGCACAGGGCTGTGTTACCAGCTCACAGAGTGGTACCTGGTGCCCTGTTCCTGCCCAGCACTGCCCAAACAGAATCCCACAGGGAAGCTCTGCAGGCAGCACGAGCTCTCTGTGGCACCAGCACACCCGTGGCTTTCCCTGTGCAGAGCCCCAGAGCTCTGGGGGCTGCAGCTGGGTGGGTGTTTGTGGGAGCCTGGAGCACTGCAGCCTGGCACGTCCTGGGCACACCAGCTGCTCTAGCAGGGGCACAGGGCACAGCCTGCCCACACACACCCATGGGAAACGAGATGTGAACAGGTCAGACTGCTTGGGAGGATGAGCAGAACAACCTGTGGCTCTCCCCAGTCTGCCAGGACACAATTCCATGTAAAACCTGGCTCATGAAAAGCCATCTCCTCCCTGAGGCTGGCAGCAACCTGGCAGAGCCCAGCTCCCTGAGCCAGCCTCAGGGCCACAGCTGCCAGATCAGCTTCAGCAGTGAGCTCTAGCACCGTGGGTGAGATTTGTGATAAACATTTTTGTGCTGCGGGTGAGATCTGCTGCTGAGCCAAGGGCCTGCATAAGGCTTGGCAGCTGCAGTGCAAAGAACACAGCTCTGCCCTGCAAATGGGGAGCTGTGCCCAGCACCAGCCCCTCAGCTGCCCCTTGCCAAGGCCCAAGAGAGGGGCAGTGCTTTCAGAGCAGCAAGGGAGCAGCCTGCAGCCAAGCAGCGAGCTCAGGCTGTGCCTGGTGGTCTGACTTTGTCAGAACTCAGCCTCAGGGAGTGGGCAAGGCAGGCTGGCACTGCTCACAGGGCTGGAGAGCAGTGAGCAAAGCTACAAGGGCAGGAGAGAAGGGCTGTGGGCAGCCAAGGTGTCCAAGATGCCCACATCCCCCAACCTGTACCATCACATGCCCATGTGCCCAAACCTCAGCATCACATCCCAAACCTGTACCATCACATTCCCAAACCTCAGCATCACATCCCCAGCCTGCACCTCAGCATCACATCCCTGTACGCAAAGCTCAGCATCACACCCCCAGCCTGTACCTGAGCATTGCTTCTGACTCTCTGACGATCTGGGCTATGTCACTTTTGTGGATCTTCTGCTGCACCAGCAGCTCATGGGCCTTGGTCCACCTGGATTTGGTGTGGGAAGGGCAGCAGTGACAGAGCTGCCAGGCAGAGTCCCTCAGCAGCACAAACAACAATTAAACCTTGTGGGATCAATGCCAAGGCCAGGGATGGCTCAAGCCCCATGTCCTGAAGTCCTCAGGGACAAGAGGGTGTCAGGACAAGGTCAAGATCACAAACAGCACTCACCACTCCACCATGAGGGGACGTTTCTCTTCCAGGGTCCGGTTGGGATCTATTTCTATGGGATAGTAATAGTGGAGCAGATCCTTCAGCTGGGGTGTCACACAAAGGGAAAAGAACAAAGTGAACATCAGGTCTGAAGTGACTGAACAAAACTAGCATTTCTGCGGTTCTCCAAAGCATTGCTCTTCCTAAACACACCCAAAACCTTGTCAGTGAGCATACCTGGAACTCTCAGCAGCCTGGCTGGCCCTCACCTCACCTCACCCCAAATGCCGCAGGTACAAACAACCCTCCCCTTCTTCCTCTTATCAAACTGAAACACTCACAGCTGCACATGCAAATTTGAGTTCCCTTTTTAACTTCTCCTGTCACAGTTGGCTGAAATGCAGCCTGGACACTTTCTCACTCCATCCTGGCAGCTACCACAGGTGGGAGAGCAGCCACAGCAGCCACTGTGACCTCCCAGTGACAGGTACAACAGCCACCAAGCCTCACACACAGCACCCACCTTCTTCTTGCCATCCTCGCTGATAACACGGCTGGTATCAAGGATATCTGCAAAGAAAACAAAACGATGCAGCATGGAATCATAAACTGAGTTTCTACAGCAGCTCCCCTGTGTCTCAGGGCTGGCTCTTCCCAATACAAGCTGTGGTGACACTGTGACCTGAGCATAGGCTCGTTGTGGGGTGCCAAGGCCACTCTGAGCCCCTGGCTGCCACTCTGAGCCCCTGGCTGCCACTCTGAGCCCCTGGCAGCAGCCTCGGTGCCTGTGGGCAGTGGGTGAAGGCACCAGCCCTGGAGCTGGCTCCTGGCTCCTGCAGTGGGCAGCTGGCACCAGGCAGTGAGGCCCAGACCTGTATGGGGGAGGACAGGATGGAGTGGCCAGGCTTGGCAGAGAAGGGCACAGGGGAAGACAGGAGCCACGTCAAATACAAACATAGAAACCAAACAGAACCAGCAACAATAAAAACAACGGCTTCCACTCACTGTGAGACGTGGGGCAGCGCCTGCCATTGCAACCAAACCTGCTCAGCGTCATGTCAAAGTCAGAAATGACCTGCAAGAGGGGAGAAAACCAAATCCCTCCGTGACCCAGCGCATTCTGCACTGGGTCCAAGGTGCTGTCACCCGTGAGAACCCAGCACCACCAATCTCCCGTGGCCACTCCTACCATCCAGAGGCAGATGCTGCCCTCACCCTCCCAAACCCCGCAGCTCTTATCAGCACTGAAGGGCAGAGCGGCTTCAGCCCGCCTGGGCGGAGCAGGGGGCTGGGGACAGTTCATGTTTCACAACCGGGAACCAAAAGCTCCGTCCGGAGGGAGCCACCAGCCCCGAACTCACTCCTTCCCTCTCCTCGGGGGCTTCTCCTTCTCCAACCGCAGGCGCTGCCCCCGGGGCCGGGAGAAGCCGGGCAGGGACCGGGGGACAAGGAAGGACAGCAGAGCGAAGGACAGAGCAAGGGCGATGCCTCGAGAACTGGGAGAAGCCGGGCCGGGGTCGGGGTATAAGGAAAGGCAGCAAAGGACAGAGCAGGAGCGATGCCCAGCGCGGCCGGGGGACAAGGAAGGAGCGACTGAGCAAAGGACAGAGAGGGACGATGCCCCGAGAGCTGGGAGAAGCCGGGGCCAAGGGACAAGGAAGGAGCGGCTGAGCAAAGGACAGAGCAGGGGCCATGCCCAGCGGGACCGAGGGACGAGGAAGGGGCAGATGAGCAAAGGACAGAGCAGGGGCGATGCCCAGCGAGGCCGGGGGATGAGGAAGAGGCGGCAGAGCAAAGGACAGAGCATAGGCGATGCCCAGCGGGGCCGGTACCTGCAGCTTGGCCGCCCCCTGCTCCCGGAGAGCCTGGATGATCTCCCGCACTCGCTCGGGCTGCCGGATCCGGACCGTGGCTTTCCCCAGCTCGGGCACCTGCGGGCACAGACCCCGCTCGGTGCCGCCCCGGGCTCCCCCAGCTCCGGGGGCACCGAGCCCCGCTCCGGTGCCGCTGTCCCGGCCCGCGGCCCCGCTCTCACCATCGCCGCTCGCTCCGCTCGCTCCGGGCCGCGCAGCCGCGGGGCGGGACCGGAACGGGGCCCGGCACCGGAACGGGGCCCGGCGGCGCCGGGCGGGGCTCCGGGAGCGTTCCGCGGTTGCTGCGGTCGGAGAACCGGAGAATCCTCCCGTGCTCCGCCCCGCTGCGGCTCCGAGCGGCGGTTGCGTTTCCCCCGCGACAAGCCGGGAAGGCCAGATATGTTAAAAATAAATTTTTAAAAAATTAAACTAAAAAGAAAAGTCGCCGTTCGTGCCCTCAGGGCTCCCGGCACTGAACCGCTCCGTACACTTGTTGGAACATTGAGAGCGCTGAGTCACAGAACGCTGGGGGGGAGAAGCCCTCAAAGAACCATCCCCAGCATTGCCAAGGCCACCAATGACCGATGTCCCGAAGTGCCACGTCCACAAGACTTTTAAACCCCTCCAGGGATGAGAATCCGCCACTACTGCCCTGTTTTAAACCCCCCCAGGGATGAGGATTCACCACTGCTGCCCTCGGCAGCTTGTGACAGGGCTAAACAGGCCATTTGGGGAAAAATAAAATTCCCAGCATTTCCGATATGCAAATCTAAACCTCCCCTGGCACAATGTCAGTGACAAAGCAGCAGGGACAGTGTGTGTGTGACAGCGCCGACATGAGCTGCACTGTACCTCAGCTTGCTCCTGGGTGGCACAAGGCACTTCAGCAGTGGTTGATGCCCACATCTGGGGCAGTGAAATGCTCCTGAAGGGCTGCCAGGGCATCGAGCACATGGCTGGCTCTGCTCCACCAAGACAGGGCAGGTCCAGGAGCCAGCATAACCCGGGATGTGGGGAAGCAAGGCCTGGGGGCAACCACAGAATGCTGGGCCTGGGTCAGCCCTGCACCTGTGATGTCATTATGGGGCACAGTCCAGAACCAGCAAGGGGGTTCAGTGCTGGATGTTTGGGGACAACACCAGAGTGCTCCACACACCTCAGCAAGGTCCACTGCCTCTGGCCCCAACGTGCGGGATAGCTTGGCACCTAGCAAATATTCACCCTCCGCCATGGAGAGGAAGATGAGCGATAGGAGTTGCAGCATCTCCAATGAACTCCGCCTGGAAGGGAGATTCTGTGATGTGATCATCAGTGTAGATGGGGTGGAATTCAAGGCTCACAAGCTCATCCTCTCTTGCTGCAGTATCTACTTCAGGTCAGTGCTTGAAGCACAAGGGGATGGGGACAAACAGTGTGCCCCGATTGAGGTCACCCCACCTCAGCACTTCCCCAGGACTTCCACCTGCCCTGAACCTCTCACCAGGTGGTTTCCCATAGTCCTGACACCTCCCTGAACACCAGGATTAATCCATGTACCAGTGGCTCTTGGCAGTGGTGTCGGAGGAGCCCCAGACACAGCGCAGGGCTGGAGCCTGGCCCAGCTGCCACGGGGCAGCTTTGCCTTCCCCACACCCTGTGACTCTCTGGGGTTCAAGGCCGAATGTTGGTGATGCACCTGGGTTGGGGAAACCCCACCCCAGTGTCAGTCAGGTCTAGGGGATGAACGGATGGAGGGCAGCCCTGGGGAGAAGGAGTTGGGGTGCTGGTGGGTGAGAGGCTGAACACGCCCTGGCTGTGTGCACTGGCTCCCAAAAACCCCCCATTGTCCTGGGCTCATCCCCACAGCGTGGGCAGCAGGCCATGGGGGGATTCTGCCCCTCTGCTCCTCTCAGGTGAAACCCCCTGCCCTGCTGCCTCCAGCTCTGGTATGCTCCAGAGGCTGTGTCTCCTTTTTCAAACAAAACCAGCAAGTAAAACATTAATGAATAAACCACGGGGCCTCCCAGAATGGCTCCTGCCAGTGCCAAAACCGGTGTCCTGGGGGCAGGGGGAGCACAGGGGATTTGGGGGCAGGGTTTAACACAGCAACACCAATGTTTTCAGGACTCTGTTTACCAACTGGGACAGCGCAGGCAAGATGGTCTATCAAATCCCTGGCATTTCAGCTGAAATGATGGGTCTCATCATCAATTACGCCTACACCGGGACAGTACCGATCACAGAGGACAACGTGGAGAGTTTGCTGGCTGCAGCAGATCAGTTCAATGTCATGGGCATCGTCAGCCTGTGCTGTGAGTTCCTCAGTTCCAGGCTGTGCTTTGAGAATTGCATTGGCATTTGCAGACTCACTGACTATTACCACTGCCCCGACCTGCGCGCAGCTGCCTGCGTGTACATCCTGCATCACTTCGAGGAGGTGTCCCAGGTGTCCGAGGAGTTCCTAGACCTCTCTGCCGAGGAGCTGGCACACATCATTGAGAAGGATGAGCTGAACGTGCGGCGAGAAGAAGCCGTGTTTGAGGCTGTGCTGAGGTGGATCGCTCATGACCCGCAGAACAGGAGGCAGCACATCGCCTGCTTGCTCAGCAAGGTGGGTGGAGAGCAGCTTTGGAGCTGTCCCCGAAGGCTACCGAGGGGGAAACCATCAGGATCTATTGGAATAATTACCAATGTTGCTGGACAGGACGTGCCTGAGCTTGTCTGGCCCTGCTGCTGAACCAAATAGCAGCACCTGTGGTGTTTTCACTCCAGAGGCACTTTTGGCTGGCTGGGTGTGTGGTGTTTCACCCCACAGACACTTTTGGCTGGCTGCGTGTGTGGTGTTTCACCCCACAGACACTTTTGGCTGGCTGGGTGCTGCAGCTGGGTGCTTGGAGGCAGCTCCAGGCATGCAGGAGCTCTGGTGGTGCTGGGATGGAGCCTCCCCCCATAACAGGGTCTGCTCCTTGGGTTTCCCTCTGGCAGAGAAGCTTTAAGGCGATGGTGAAGGAAAGGAGTTGGTTCTGAGAGAGGGTTTGGATCCAGAGCTTTATTCTGGCCCACAGGCCTCTGAATCCAGCAACTGCTCCAACAGAACTCCCCAATCCCTGTGGTTTGCTTGCCCTTTTACCCAGGGGAGAGGGGAAGGAAAGGAATATGGGGACCACCAACCAGGTACAGGAGAGGAGGTCTCAAGGGACAAAGGACACCTGGATGGCCCAATGCCCCCCAGGGGCAGAGGGCATCCTTTAATCTGCCAATCTCTCGATGCCCTTCTGGAATTCCAGGATTGACAGACGGTGCTCAGCAGGGGTCAGGGTGTGGAAGGGATTGATTGACACAGCCGGCAGGGAATCTTCAGGGAGAAACCTGGGGTATCTGAGGCAAACCACAACATCACGCCACAACAAGTGTCAGTACTCCAACCTCCTCCTTGCCCGTTTCAGGTTCGACTGGCACTCCTACAATCCGACTACTTCATGAACAACGTCAAAGCTCACGAGTACGTGAAAGACAACGCCAACTGCAAAGATCTCATCATCAGTGCCCTGTCCGAAATCTACGACCTGAACTCCTACGGCCAGAGTTCCTCAGTCAACGCCAACCCCCTCACCCGGCCGCGCCTGCCCTACGCCATCCTCTTTGCCATCGGGGGCTGGAGCGGCGGCGGCGCCACCAGCGCCATCGAGACGTACGACGGCCGCACCGACAAGTGGCTGAACATCCCCTGGGAGCAGGAGAGCCCTGTTGCCTATCATGGCTCGGCTTATTTGAAAGGCCACGTCTATGTGATCGGTGGATTCGATGGCACGGATTATTTCAACATCGTCAAGCGCTTCGATCCGCTGCAGAAGACGTGGCAGCAGGTAGCGCCCATGCACTCACGGCGCTGCTACGTCAGCGTCACCGTTGTGGACAACTTCATCTATGCCATGGGAGGGTTTGATGGCTACATGAGGCTCAACACAGCGGAGCGCTATGACCCAGACACCAACCAGTGGACCCTGATCACCCCCATGCACGAGCAGAGGAGCGACGCCAGTGCAACCACGCTGAATGGAAAGGTAAACTGACCCCAGATGAGAGAAGGTGGGGTTGCAGCATGAGGAAAGTTCACATAAACCTTCACTAAATTTGTAACACTTAAATTCATAACAGTTCACAAAATCCTGGAGCTGCAGATATAAAGCAGCCTGCCTGGTGTGGCAGTAACCAGGAGTACAAAAACTCTTCCAGAGCTGCTGCCAACCTGGTGCCCAACAGCCCTTTTCCTGGCCGTAGGTGCAATACCGGGCCTGTCTGCTTCATGCAGCTTGGAAAAACAAGAGTAGAAATCTTGCTGGCATCAACTCTTTGCACTGCTGCTACTTCGAACCCAGGATGACAACACCATTCCCACTCTAAAACAGAACACCCCAAAAATCCTGCTACAGCATTCATGTTTCCTCACCAAGGGTCTAACCACCCCATTCACACTTTCCCACCTCTCCTGTCCCCAGGTGTACATCTGTGGTGGGTTTGATGGTGATCAGTGCCTCAGCTCAGCTGAAGTGTTCAACCCCACCACAAACCAGTGGTCCCTGATCGCCCCAATGAGCAGCAGGAGAAGTGGAGTTGGGGTGATGGCGTATGGGAACCAGGTGTACGCGGTAAGGGCCAACACCACCCAGCACTGCAGTCCCTGGGGTGGCTGCAGCTCCCACACCTCCAGGGTGGCCATCTGCTTATGTGAGGTTTAGGGAAGTCAGAGCCAGAACGGTTGATGCACTTCCTGAGAATGTTATCACCCACCACACGCTTTTGAGTATAAAAAGGGTGTTTGGCAATGTCTAAGCAGCTGCGGCAAAGAACATAATTTCTGCTGCTGCCAACAGCATCAGCAGCACAGAGCAGGGACTTGGGCCTGCTCATCCATTGTTTATCCTCTCCATGGACTGCATCCAGCCTCTGGAGAAATGTCAAAATTGACAGTTGCATAAAGTGCTTTGGAAAACTACTCAGCAATAAGCAAGAGCCATGCCCAGAGATCTGGCGCTCTCTGCCATGGTTGGGGATCTGGTGCTCTCTGCCATGGTTGGGGATCTGGTGCTCTCTGCCATGGCTGGAGATCTGGTGCTCTCTGCCATGGTTGGGGATCTGGTGCTCTCTGCCCTGCTCAGAGATCTGGTGCTCTCTGCCATGGTTGGGGATCTGGTGCTCTCTGCCCTGCTCAGAGATCTGGTGCTCTCTGCCATGGTTGGGGATCTGGTGCTCTCTGCCCTGCTCAGAGATCTGGTGCTCTCTGCCATGGTTGGGGATCTGGTGCTCTCTGCCCTGCTCAGAGATCTGGTGCTCTCTGCCATGGTTGGGGATCTGGTGCTCTCTGCCATGGTTGGGGATCTGGTGCTCTCTGCCATGCTCAGAGATCTGGTGCTCTCTGCCCTGCCCAGACTGCAGCCAGGGAGGCAGAGCAGTTCCCATCTCTCTGTACCTACCAGGACCTGCCTGAGGAAAGGCCCCTCTCAGTCTCTGTCCCTCTGGCATTCCCAGGTCGGAGGGTTTGACGGGAACAGCCGGCTGCAGAGCGTGGAAGCGTACAACCCCATCGCCAACGCCTGGCACGCCGTGCCCTCCATGCTAAACCCACGCAGCAACTTTGGCATTGAGGTGATGGACGGCCTCTTGTTCGTGGTTGGGGGCTTCAATGGGTTCAGCACCACCGTTGCCACCGAGTGCTACGAGGAGGACACCAACGAGTGGTACGATGCCCACAGCATGGGCATCACCCGCAGCGCCGTCAGCTGCTGCGTGGTGCCAGGACTCTCCAATGTCATGGAATACATCGCCAGGCAACACTACTACCAGCACAGCTCCTCCATGGACATCTTGTTCACCAGCTCAACTCGGAGCTCGCCGTTGTAAATAGTTCCCCTTAGCTAGGAGTGTTGTGATCAGCCATCACTGGATGCTTGTGTAAATAGTTCTGCGTATCTAATAAAGTCTTCTGAGCATCCCACCACTGGATGCCTGTGTAAATAGTTGTCTTTTAGGTAATAAAGTCCCCATGGCAGCAAGGGAGAATGTTCCTTTGTTCTAAAATAGAAACAATTGTAACAAGCCAAAAGGATCATTAGGATTTCAAATTTTCACTCAACAGCACTACCCAATGTATCAGCCACACCCTATACATTAACTTAAAAAAATCAAAAGCACAACAGAATGCTAGAGAAATAGAAGGTTTATTTTCATTAATTCACCTCTTACAATAAACTTTAGTACAGTGTATTTAAGGTCAAGAACAGGACAGCAGGATCTGTTTCAAAGGGCCTACGACACACACAACTTTACCTCACAGGTAGGGACAGGAGTGCTGCTCCCCAGGAAACTGCTGTCCCTCTGTTAATGTGCCAGGAGAGCAGAGCTGCTGCAACCCACAGTGACATGGAGCCACGAGGAGAATCTGACTATTAATGGTCATCAAACAGCTCGTTAGTTCCACACTCTACATTCATATTAGTAACAGGGTTAGATCCTCAAGAGCACCTGTTTTATCAGATTTCACCCAGGACTGTCAAAGGGGAGATGGCTTGTACCCCAACCTAAGGTGGACAGAGCTGAAAATAAATCCAAGACCACTTTCTTTACACTTGCTTTTCAAAGCCCATTGGATGTTACAAAATCCTGTTACAAGGCTGTAATATTAAGAACATAGAAAGTTCTAATTTCTTGGGACTGGGTTTGTTTTCAGCCACCAGGGTATTTCACAACACAAAAGACGAGCCAAGAGTTTGGATTTTAATATTTACTGTAATGGAGAAAAATGTCATTGCAATAGTCAAGCAGAATGCTGGGTACAGTTGTTCACAGCACATGAAACATGTCTGCTTCATCTGTGGAATGGACTCCCACTGTGTGCAAGGGAGTCCATTAAAAACACAACCCTCTAATGGAGTATCCAGGTAGTTATAAAATATTATGTACACATACGGCCCCTGGGAGTTACTAAAGTGACCACTACCACCTGGCAGGGGGTAAAGAAAAGCAGAAATCCAGGACACGTCACCTGTTTGGTGGCAGGAATCAGGACAGCTGTAGAGTTGTGATTGCCCTAAGGAGGAGGAAAACTCCCCCCAATGTCCTTTTCCCTCAGTGAGGCAGCACTCAGCCTTCTCACCCTTACTGAACACACACTGCTGACAGCTGAGCAGCCTCCAGAAACACACGTGAGGAATTCCCAGGCTTTTGTTTATGGGATCATTTGATAAACACCCAGCAAGATATGGTGGTCAAGGGCACAAGGAAATTGTTATGGATTCACAGGCTTGTGGGCTAAACTGCAGCCAGAGCCACGAATGCAATTGTCCCACCACCTCATGTGATGCAATGGATTATTTATTTGATCTATCAGTCACAAACCACATCAGTGCCACTGGTCCCCTGGGATTCAAGGCTAAAAAACCCCAACTGCTTAAAACTATCCCAGAAGTGGCAGAGCAAACACTGAGAACAGCCTGTGCTGCCGCCAGCCCCCACCCCAAGCACGAGGAGGGACAGCAAGGCACACACAGCATGCAACTGGCACACACGGGTTACCTGTCCATGATGGGGCTGCCTCTCAGGGGAGTGCTTTCAGTAAATGCCACAGCTTGTCCAGCAGCCCAAAGTCCTCCTGGGAAGTGCAATATCAATTTTGCTTAGAAAAAGCAAGACTGCAAGGTTTGTTCTTGCCTCTTTGTTGGACAGTGCCATGGATTAAATATTCAGCTTCTATTCCAACTGAAAGAACCATCTTGGTGTTTCTCCCTACAGATTGTCTGTATTTGAGGAGAGGCTACAAGAGAGCTTGGAGAGAGCTGTGGTGGTGACCTACCACTCCCCAACTGCCTGCTTAATCCCTCCAGCTGGTTCAGCAGGGTGGAGGACAGAACTCCTCTTAAGTATCTTAAAATCAGCTCCCACAAATTGCTGTGTCCCACATTGATGGATTCAGCACCAGAGGCATTTGCATTTTATCACAAACTGCTGCAGCAATTCCATATCTACTCCGGCCAGACCTGCAAGAGTCCAGGGATCAACCCACACCTTACAAGCCTGCAGCAGCTGTTTGGGAACAGTCACCTGCAAACATCACCTTAAACTCACCTATTTCCTCTTGCATGAAGTCAGTAGTACAGACTTCACCTGCCCCAACAACCAAACAGGCAAAGAAAATAGAACATGGTTACCACAAAGGAGTAAACCAAGACAAACTTCAGAATTTCAAGTCTGGTAGTTGTTTTAACTAAGGCTGGAGACTCTCTCACAAAAAGACAAGTTGTTGATATCAAAGTGGCCCACGAACCACAAAGTGGAGCTTCAAGGGACATACACATCAGAGAAACCTTTACACACTGAGTGGTGGAAAGACTTACCCCAAGTTTCAGATATGATCTGGGCTGCCTGTTGAACTGGAAAAAGAGAATGAGCAGCTCAGGAAGCAAAACAATTAAGACCAAAACAAACCCCAAATTGGTTAAAAGTTCTTTGCAAAGAACTAACCCACAGCAAAACCACCAGCAAATCATCAATGAACCAAGAACAGTAACAGATTTTCCAGAAAGGTTTGTCTACACAAATTTTGTAATACCCAGGTTACTCCTCCCATTCCCTTCCCTAAGATCCTGAGTTAAGACTGCATGGAAAAACCTGGAACATTCAAAAGAAGGGAAGGATGGGGAGAAAAGGAGGTAGGAGGTATGCACTGAAACTGTTGGTAAATGAAAGGGTCCTGGAGCTTCTTGGATGGGGAGAAGGAGTGCTCAGTGGGACAGAGAGGCAGGGATACCCCAAAGGGACCATCCCACATTCTGTTTGTTCCCTGGGAGTGCAGCAGGAAGCAATACAGAGCCAACCAGGGCACCTGCATGTACAGCCACCCCAAAATGCCAAAAGGTGTTCAAATGAGCTTAAATGTCACCCCAGAGCAAGTGGGGAAATTCAGATACCTGGAGACTCTGAAAGCCCAGCTCTCCCCCCTGCAGGAGCACAGCTGGGAGCCCCTTGGGACAGCACAGTGGGGCAAAGGGTTCTGATTGTCAGAGAGATGCTGGGAACAGCAGGGGCTCTTTCATCACTTTTCACTAGAATGAAAACATTTGAGAAAAGACCTACGAGTAGCTCAGGTTTCACTGTATTCCCATGAAATAATCCCACTCTCACTGATCCACTCTGACAGAACTGAACAACCAGTGTGGGTGGGTGGCTCATGGCTGGGTGTCACTCCTTTGCTCAGGCTGTTGACCCAAGTTTTTGAGTCAGAGACAGACTCAAAACTGCAATACACCTGAAAAAAAATCCACTGCCTCAAGCTCTCTTTTAGCAAGGGTTTTGTGTCCGACCAATCATCCATTTATAAACAAACTCTGCAGCCTCTCTATAACACACAAATACAAAATATTTAATACACATAGAAATGTCCTGAAGTAATTTCATAAAGAAAGATTGTGCTTTTGTTTCATACAGAGCTATTGCACTTGCCTCCAGCTTGGGAAAGCCAAGTACACCAACACCAATCCTGTGAAGTTTAGTCACTGAGGAGAGAATCAAAGGAATGTCAAGAGATAAGTGCAAATGAAACAGGTGCTTTCAAGCACACACAAATGTAACCACTAAATTATTAAGAGAGAGATCTTTGATTTTCCAAGTAGAACTGTTAGAGACTAACTCTACAGAAATCCTTGGAACCAAAGATCTGAGGAAAGAAGTAACAGGCTTAATGCTCCCAGAGACATTTCACAGCCCGATACAGGCTACAGCTTTTCCCTGGGCATCATTAAGGAATACTGTTGGATCCATGGAGTGTCTCAATTCCCACCCACCCTCAACTTCTGAGCTTCTGAATTTTCAGTACACAACAGATGCTGGTTTTGTGCATCAAATCAAATCCACACCCTCATGTCTTATAAAGACACACCAAGCCTAACAAATGGGTTTATTTCCTAGGCTCATCAGGAGTGACACTGCAGACACTAGCACTCGATCTGGGAGCGCGGCATCCTCCGTAAGCTCAGGGAGTATCGGTGGATCTCCTGCATCTGCCTTTCCTGCATCTGCCTGATTCTATCTTTTTGCCACATGAGATTTTGTGGCATGGGGTACCTCTGTGTTCCCTGCAGGCACCTGAAGGGGATTCTCACGTGGCAGGCAGTGGCTCTGCAGCGGGGCTGTGGCATGGGGGGCAGGAGCATCCAGCGCTTGCGCTCGGCGCAGTAGCGATAGGCCTCCTTCCTGTACTGCTTGTCAATGTCATCGCTGTTCTTCCAGCCCCCGATGATAAACACGTCATCTTTGTAGTAACAAATAGCTGCTCCTTCAATGCTCAGCACCTCGGGGGGCAAGGATTCCAGGATTTCATCCGAGGCCCTGCTGGAGATCTTTCCCTTGGCCTCCTCGTTGTCTATGGGGTAACTCTTGGGGCAGCACGATGCCGTGTGGTAGAAGTTGGTGCTGGCCACAGACATCTGGAAGGAGCAGTAGTTGTCGATGAGGGGCAGGGATTCCACGTCCTGCCACTGCCTGGTTTCAGCATCATATCTGATAATAACAGCCCTGAGCCCGTCCTCGCTGTCGCTGTCGACCGGGGTGCGGGCGGCCACGTACACGTACCGGTCCTCCACGGAGACAGCCTTGACATCCCGCAGGATCTTCGGTGCCGACTCCAGGTTCAGCCATTTGTCCTGCTCAGGATTATAAATGGCCACATCTTTAAAGCCTGGACTGAAATTGCCGTGCCCGCCAATACTGTACAAGTTGCCTTTCACTTCAGTAAGGCCAAAGGAATGCTTCCTGGTGATGAGGTTTGAAACCTGCTCCCAAATATTTCTGTTTGGATTGTACCTCTCCACAGTCTTGGCAAAGCCTGGTTCCATGGAGCCGGCCACATA